TACATGTAATTAGCAAGACTCAAGTTCTTGTAAGCCCTTGATAAATCCGGGACGTTCGTTATGTGTGTACTAACATACTAACATATTAACATACTAATGTACTTATCTTAATAACACTTCGGGATAGGTCAGTACACCACAGTACACTACGACCCTAGAATCCTCCCCCCGGAGTTATGTTGGATATTTCCAACACCGAATACAACTCTGTTGTATTCTCATTACTTATTACTAACTCTATTAATTATTGTAGTAAGTAAAATTAACAACACGTAGAATTCTCATGTACTAATAATTTCATCTGTGCAGTAGGCTAGAATTCTCACGTCACCCGACGCCAGTATTGTGTCAGATTTCATTACAATAAACACATTATATCCAATGTATGTGAGAATTAAATTCGATTCTCTATAACTAAGGCATTCTGTATGATAATTAATTACAGATAAATTGACCTCCAACTAAGAGCCGAATAGAGCGTTGGAGTCATAGTGATTATCTAGTAATAAAAGTTAACGTCACCAGTGAATGCCATGGGGAGACATTAATTCCTGTCCCTTATACGTTTACCATCTCTAAATTGGCAAATAATAATATTGTCCTCTTCTAAATAATAAACCCGTCCAGTCTTCAACGTTTCAAGCGTAAATGCGAGAAATATTAATGTTCGTGACAATAATTTGTTTTATGAACGCAGGACGCGGCGTGGGTTGAGGAAGCTTGGCAGTACACGAGGAGAGCCGTTCTGAGGCAGACCTGCGCATACCGTACTCACAAGGAGACGCCATTGCCCAGCCATTAGGGTAGACGTTATCCATCCTCAGATGAAAGTCGCCACTATGAGGCGTGAATAACCTTGCAGATAATATCTTCAACTGGTGCTGGTGTCATATAAGGAACCTACTTAACTTGGTTCTGAACTACACGTGACCGGCCAGTGAAGCGCGCCACGATCCAGGATAGGCCTAGCCAGAGCCTGTGGACGCGATTTCGGCAATCTTAAAACTTATACAGTGCCCTTATCAGCTAAGTATATTCCCTTTATTGGATGCATCTTTTAAAGTGTTTTGTAGTAGCTAGGTGATTGTCCGCTACGACGCACGATAACATCTAATAACAGGTGATTAAATTTTGTCACCTGTAACTCTCAATTTCTTGAATATAGAGATTCAGTAGTTAATTAGTTGCTACTGTAAATATTTGTCTTGCAGCACGTGAGAAGAATTCTCCCTGCCGCCTTCTCCCATGTTAATCCATCCCATTCGTCAGCCAGCCGAGTCCAGAGAATTAGAGGAAACGCCGTGGCTTTCATAAAGGAATCGTCTTTTAGCTAAGATTCTTTATATTCATTTATGAACTTATTGCAATTACTTACATGCAGAATTTCCTAGGATTAACATGTGTTTATTGTGATTCTCATTACTATACTTATAATCTATGCTCATTCATGGTAATGATATTAGTTTCACTATAATTTATAGGATTAGATTATTATTATTTGGATTAGTGAACGAACCACACTAGTTCCTGGACGTACTTACCTCCAGTAATAACCCCCCAATGTAGGTGTTTGAGGGTTTGATTCATTTAATTATACAGCCCATTAATTATTTCTATGATCATATTCTCTAGTATTTTATCCATAGTTACTGGTTCATCTAGGAATTATCTAATGATCAGAAATTCTCAGTTTCCCTCTTTACTATAAAAGCGGGTGGTCCTTCGTAATTTAATTTACTACATTAATATTTAAATAATCAGATTCAAGCCCCAAATGTCCCACAACAGCTGCTGATACATAAGCACCCACTGACAACATCTCCTGACCCACTGACAGCAGCTGCTGATACATAAGCACCCACTGACAACATCTCCTGACCCACTGACAACTGCTCCTGATACTTCAGTACCAGCTTCTGATCCTCCATTAACAGTTCCTGGAAAATAAACACCAGCAGCTGACCAGTTGACAACTGCTGCTGATACTTATGCACCAGCTTCTGTCCCAATGACAACAACTCGTGAGCAAATGACTAGTACAGCATAATCTCAACATGGCTGCTGAAGGGAGCTGCAGGAATACTTTGTCGTCTGTTAACTAAAATTTTTAAGAAGACGCCTTAGACAGGAGGTCTCCCAAAAGTCTGGAAAAAGGCTAATATTGTCCCCATATAAAAAAAATATAAAAAATAGGGAGAGACGGAGGTATTAAATTACAGACCTGTGTTAATGAGAATTATTTAGTGTAAAGTAAAGTAATTAGGTCGAGAATGTAGAACCAGGAGAGGAAACCTAGCTGAAAAAAAGGTTTCATAAATGGAAAAGACGTACATGACAAGCTTCCTTGTGTTCTATGACATGGCTACTGAAACATGACTGGAAGAGGAAGAGTGGCTAAACTGTATTTTCTTTGATGATCAAAAAGCATTTGCCCGGTTTTTCCTCTTTAGAGGCCGGAGCAAAAGATGGAGAAGCAGGCTGGAATTACTGGGAAAATACTGAATTTGAATGGGAAAGATCCTGAAGGATAGAAAGCAAAAATCACAGCGAAGATTTTTCAAGCTAGAGGAATGTAACAAGTGGGGTCTCAAAAGGCTCAGTCTTGGGACCACTGCTGATATTAAGTAATGATATAGACCTACGTGAGAGGGTGAGCTCGTGCATTTCATGCTTAGAGATGACACAAAGCTGACGAGGAATGTACAAAGAGAGGAGAAGTACAGGAAGTTACAGTAGAACCAAGATAAACTTCATACGTGGGCAAACAATTAGTAACTGAAATTAACTAAGGTAATAAAGATGGAAAAGGAAGAGAAGACACCAGCCGGCATTAACACCATATGGGGGAAGGCAACTAACAAGAACCTGAATAAGAGAAAGATTTGAGAGTGGATATAATTACAATACTATCTCCGGGGGCACACATACACAGGGTAACATCGGCAGTATATTAAACGTTGCCAAATATAAGAATGTCGTTTAGAAACCTAAATCAGGACGCCTTCGAGGCAATCTACTCAACAGTTATTAAATCACAACTGGAGTATGCAGCAGCAGCATGGAATCTTCATATAGTGAAGAATAATTCCTAAGTTTACAAAAATACGAAATTTTGCAACAAGATTGTGCCAGATCTGCCAGTGTTAGACTATGAGAATAGGCTAATAGATCCAAATATTACATCCCGTAGATGATGCTAAAATGAGTGAGAGTATAATCATAACATACAAGATTCAGTGGTTACCTAGCAGTTATTCCGAGGATCAATGTCTCCGCAGCCCGGTATCTGACCAAATCTGGTTGTGGATTTGGTCTACCAGGCTGATGGACGTATGAATCACAACATGGTTGATCGGGAATCATTTTTAAGGTTTTTGTCGAATTCTCTTTTGAACACCGTAGGAGGCCGGCCAGTTATGCCCCATATGTGTAACAGCAGGAGTGTGTTGAACAGTCTTGAGCCTTTGATGTTGACAGAGTTCTCTCTCTCAGACAGCCCATTGCTATCCTGCTTCTCAACAGGGGTAAGGACAAGTAGTACAGTCGGGACAGAAATGGTTGGGCACATTTCCTTTCACCTAGCAGCAAATAGGTGCTCAGGAGTTAGTCAGCTTGTTGTGGGGTTGTTTCCTGGGTGGGGTCAGTAATTCGACCCTGGGGAATGGGGGAGGGGATGCGGTGAGACTTCGATACAAGCCTAACGTGTATGAATACATTCTGACTTCTTGTCCCCCGACACATTGAATAATTATTAATATTCTGCATATACTACCATGCCTTCTGGTCTCATGAGAAAAAGTAGGACAATAGGACACTAGTGGAAGCTTATTCTGGAAGCTGGAAATTCAAATGACCTGAAGGAACATAAGGAAAGACTTGTACTCTGCACTGGTGCTCAACATGTGGAATATGCTGAACAAGAGATGGTTGTGGAAGATTTGACAAAGGATCTGAACGACTGAATAGTTAAATATTAATACGACAGGTACAGCCAGGATAGTAGGTTAGGAATAAAGAGCTGGACCTTACTTCCCCGTAGACACTGATAGGTAAACACAGAGCCACTACAGTTGACGACATAAAACTAAAATCGAAAAAAGGCAGATGTTTGCTACTAGATTACTGCCAGAGTTTAAAAGGTTAAATTATGATGATTGGCTGAAAGAATGAGATCTTTCAACCTTGGAATACAGAAGAAATAGAGGAGATATGATAACAACGTACAAGATACTGAGGGGGAATAACCTAGGGGGCAAGGAGAGCTTCTTTACGTTGAGAGACAGTAGGACAAGAGGACACAAGTGGAAGCTGGAATCGCAAATGAGTCGAATAAATGTAAAGAAATACTCGTACCCTGTCCGGGTGGTTAACGAGTGGTATGTACTAAGAGAAAAAGTTATGGAAGCCACCTGCATTCTGACCTTTAAGGAAAGGTTCGGCAAAGATAGTGATTGTTTGTATAGTGAAGCTTTTATGCAATGGGTATAACAACGCTAGTAGGTGGGGCATAAAGATCTAGACCTCTCGTCCCCATAGTCACTGCGAGGTAAGTACTGTTGAGTAAGTATTTTTAGGTAAGTACAATATTTATACGGAAACAACAAATACCTCAAAAGAATATACATTAAACAAAGGAGCTTGAGATATTTCGTGATTTTACCTATCATGTGGGGGCCGGTCGGCCGAGCGGACAGCACGCTGGCCTGTGATCCTGTGGTCCCGGGTTCGATCCCGGGCGCCGGCGAGAAACAATGGGCAGAGTTTCTTTCCCCCTATGCCCTTTTACCTAGCAGTAAATAGGTACCTGGGTGTTAGTCAGCTGTCACGGGCTGCTTCCTGGGAGTGGAGGCCTGGTCGAGGACCGGGCCGCGGGGACACTAAAGCCCCGAAATCATCTCAAGATAACCTCAAGATCATGAAAGATGTTTTTGGTCACGTATTTATAAGTATAATAATAACACTAAAGCTTGTCTGAGAGGTAATTATATTCACTTGGCCAGATGATGGCTGATGGGAGGTTCAACGGGCCCATCATCGCTGCCGAGCATGTGGCTGAGCTGGTCCCAGAGGACCGTCGTCAATACGTCCGAGTACTCGACATTGCCGCAGGTACTGTACAATTTTGATGCAGTGCTCCTGCATCTTGGTTTAATTGGAGAAGGATTTCTCCAAATGTTATCTTTGTTTGAGGTAAACTAAAAAAATAATTAACTGTAGAATGTATTACACTTATTATAAATTTACACAACGTTTCGAACCAACATGGTTCATTCTCAAGTGATTGAACTGTACGTTGTTGTAGTGGTTTTAGATTTAGCTACTCAGAACGAAATGTCCATCTAGCACGGGCTATGGTGAGCCCGTAATTGAGTTCGGATATTCGCGATAACCTTCTTACTGTGATATTTGGGTCAACGTTTTAAATAGAGGTGGGGTTTCCTCCTCTTTCCCCTGTTTCTTTTTTCGCTTCTGTTTTAGTGTACTGGTTTTAGTTTTTTTTTAATAACATTATCTTGGTGGCGGATGTACATGCAGCATGTTCACTAGTGAGTCCCATTCTTCAAGGCTTTTCTAATCATTGTAGTCACTGTGGAATGTGCATCTAATGCAGCTGCTGTCATTGGATTAATGTTGAGTTTGATGCGCAGGGCTTCAGTAGCTTCACATTCCAGTAAGTAATGCAATAGTGGCGGCTCTGCTTCTGTTACACAGATATGACACTCTTTAACTATTGGGTTCATTACCTCCCAGCAGCACTTGTAACCAAGTCTGAGTCTGTGTATGGCTACTGCAATGTCTCTGGATATCTTTTTGTCAGGCTTGAAAGAGTAGTACCATATCGCAGTGGATCTTCCTTCTGCTACTTTGGCTCTGTGGCGATTTTTGATAGTTGGGAGTATTTTCTTATTGATTTGATCCTTAATCTGTGAAGTGGAACTGTACTGGACATAATTGATTTGTATTATTAGGGAGGTCAGGTACATACAAATATAAATAGGTAAAGAGTAAGGCATAAAAGGGTGAAGAGTAAGGCGTAAAGGGCGAAGAACAAAGCAAAAAAAAATCAGTGGTGTGTAGAGTGGAGGAGTGGTGGGAAGAGGAGAGGAGAGCAGTGTTGTGTAGTGTGGAGGAGTGTTGGGAAGAGGAGAGGCGAGCAGTGTTGTCTAGCGAGTTGGAATGGTGGGAAGAGGAGAAGCGAGCAGTGTTGTGTAGTGAGGAGGAGTGGTGGGGAGAGGATTGATGATTGATAAAGATTAAGCCACCCAAGAGGTGGCACGGGCATGAATAGCCCGTAAGTGGTACAATTTTTTTTTCCTCAGTATTCTGAGGTTGCATTTAACCATCAAGCTGTTATCGCGGGGGAGGATACTGCTTCACAGTCTTTATGAGGGTGTCCAGCTGCTGGACACCTTTGTTGACCAGGAGAGTGGCTGTGTTGATGGCTTCAGGGTGGCCACTGCATGATTCAGGAACTCTTAAAGCTCTTCTAAGGTCATTGGTTGCTTCACATTCCAGAAGATAGTGAAGTAATGGCTTTTCTGTGACAGTTTGGCGGAAGATGCACTCTCTCTGTCGGGGTTCACCAATCTCCCAGTTGTATCTGTAACCTAGACGTAGTCTATATAACCTAACTGCTATTTCTCTGTGGATTCCTTTTGGGATATTTAACCTTTCTAATTTGGTTGCCTGAAGATACCATGTTGCAGATGGCGAACCTTCAGCTATTCTCTGGTGTAGGTCGGCTTTGTTGAGATGTGAGAGTTTTTTGGTGATGATGTTTTTTATGTTCTCTAGGCTGGGTTGAATTGTTTTATGTATCACTGGATGACGAGTTGCCAATTTAGCAATTTCATCAGCTTTATGGGATGGGATCCAGTTTAAAGTTATGTTGAGTCCTTTGCCTTTAGCGACTGCTCCAAGATACAAAATGGTGGTAATTATTTCCACATTATCTTTCCACTGTTTTTGTCCTAGTATTTGAAGTGAAGTATTTTGAGTCTGTGTGTATGATTGCATTTTGAGTGTTTTGTGCAATCACATATGCGAATGCCTGTTGTATAGCAAACAGCTCAGTTTGGGTTGATGATACTAGTCCTCCCAGTCTCCAATATGCCTGTACGCTGGTCGTGCAAAGAGCAGCGCCAGCACTCTCATATTCTGTGTCCACCGATCCGTCTGTGAAGATGTGGGTGGTTCCTGCTACTGCTATGCTATACATTTGCTCTTCTATTATGCGCCTTAGGATTGTCGGATCATAGGCAGCCTTTTTCATTGGGAGACTTTCTATTACTATTTTGAAAGTAGGCTCTTCCCACGGCGCGGAAGGAGTGTAATTTGGGTGTGGATGATCACACCCAAATTATCTTGATTCTATCAAGAATCATGTTTTTCAAATGTAGTCTGTTTAGGACTTTTCCTGCTCTTGCAACCCAAGAGTTTCCATTGTTTTGGCCTAGTCCAACCACCAAGGCCTGCCGTACTGGGATTGGATCAGAAGAAATAATTATCTTACTGATAATTGTAGCTGTCCTTTGTGATATTCTTTCTTGTAGAGAGGGCAAACCCGTCTCCAGTCTAAGAGTTTCAAGCCTGGTCCACATGGGGGTTCCCAGTGCAGCTCTCATAGCATTGTTTTGGGCAACTTCAAGCTTTTTCCACTGTTGGTGTGATAGATTTGTGAGTGCAGGTGCGGCATAATCGATCACTGATCTGACTGCCTGTACATAGTGTGTGCGAAGGACTTGCAGATTGGCTCCTCCAGAAAGGGAGGTTAGCGACCTGAGGATTGCCGTCCGGGCCGCAGTTCGCTCTCTCAAGTAAGTGACCTCAGCATTAAAATTCATGTGTGTGTCCAGGATGATTCCTAGATACTGATAGGTGTCGACCCATTCTATTGGTTGACCTTGTACTGTCAGTTGGATGTTGGGCTTCGCTATTTTTATGGGCATGGCCTTTGACTTTGAGGGGTTGAGTTTGATCCCAATCTGTTTTGCCTCTTTACTGATGCAGTCTAAGCATTTGGGTGCAAGGCGCGCCGCATCCCTTCCTTTTATGATGATGACAAAGTCGTCCGCGTAGTTTAGCAGCCTGCAGTGATGTGGGAGTTTCAACCTCATTATTCTTTCCATTAAACAGTTGAAGAGAAGAGGGCTGAGAATACCTCCTTGCGGTGTACCATTTTCATGTCTTTTGTACTCAGAGACTGTGCCATGAAGTTTTACTCTTGCTTCTCTGTTTATGAGACAGTTTTTGGTCCAGGAGAGCAGGTTGCCTCTGACCTCTTTGTCAATGAGGCAGCAGAGAATAGCTGGGGCGCTAGCCAGTTCAAAGGCTTTTTCGAGACCAAAACCCAAAGATCCAGCTAATCCCAGGCCCATCTCTCTCCAAAGCTGTGCAGCCAAGACGGCTGGCACTCAATAGACTGGAGTGGAAAATGCCTAAACTGCACCATGATATGTATGCCTATAGAAGAGGGGTTGGCACAGTGGAATGTATTACAACTCTGTTAGCCCACTTGAATGACAGACCAGGAATGCTGATATTCCTGGACCTCGAAAAAGGGGAGAGGAGAAGCGGGCAGTGTTATGTAGTGAGGAGGAGTGGTGGGGAGAGGAGAAGCGAGCAGTGTTGTGTAGTGAGGAGTGGTGGGGAGAGGAGAAGCGGGCAGTGTTGTGTAGTGAGGAGAGGGGTGGGAAGAAGAGAGGCGAGCAGTGTTGTGTAGTGTGGAGGAGTAGTGGGAAGAAGATAGGCGAGCAGGTTTGTGTTGTGAGGAGTGACGGGAAGAGAAGAGGAGAGCAGTGCCAAAAGCGATGGGAAATAGGATATTGCATAGATCATGGGGGGAGAGAGGAAGTCAGAAAGAGTTGGTGTTGACGAATGTTAGGAAAAACGTCGTCAACTTGCAAGGAGGTTGAGTGAATAAGTTCTTGAAAAGGAATGCGGCCATGAAACGTAAGCTTTTTCTTGCGACGTCTGGCGGTGTTATGACCACACATACACTAGTGTAAATATATGGTGTAAGTGTATGTTGCGCTCAAACTATATAGTCACATATTACTTGTTTAGCTTACTCCTGTATTAGCAATCTTTTGTGGAATAGCAGAAGCTTATGGTTGTTTATACACCTATATACTTGAGGTATATGAATATATGGTACTTTAAGTCGTAAACGATCGATCGACCGGTAATTGCTCGAACTCCTCCCATATCCCCCCATATTGATATGATATGATATATCATATCATATTGGTGAATTGTCTCCAGTAGTATTGCCAAATTTATAGAAATGACTCCCTTATGTGTTTAGCACATATTGTTATATATTCTTATCTACCTTAAGGTTTTGAATACATTGTATTGTATTATGTATATATCTAATTAGGAACAGTATGAGCTAAATGTAAATATTTATGTTTTGAGCTTCTGTTATGCAAAAGAGGAAGGTTGGAGTACCTTGCACTGTTGGCAACAAAGTCGTTCTCGGCCGGCATGGCCGTTGGCAAGCCACTACTTTCCTGGTTTGGGGAGTGCATCTGGAGCTGCCGTGAAGTACAGACGTGTCGTCCGGCCTCTGGTAGTTTGGGGTGTTTGCCGTTTTTCGTCGCCAGGGGGTGTGGGTGTCCCCACCCTCCCTGCAGTTGCTGCTTGGCTGGTGGTGACGTCGCACGCTTGCGATGGGGGTCCCTCTCCCTCCTGTGTTGAGAGTAAACTCCGTGGGACTGGAGTTTACGGGCCGTGTTGGCTATCCTCTAGTTGAGCTTGTCATGTGTGACATGCTCCGTGTCCCAGTCGACGACGTCTACGGGATTGAGCTGGTAACTGCTCACCGGGTTATTATCAAGTTGGCGGGGGAGAAGGTGTATCGTGCTTTCCTCCGCCGTTACGAGGGGCGTTCCTTGTCGCTGCCGGATAGTGCTGGCTCTGTGACTATTACAGACCGTAGTGGTGCCCTGACCTACGTAAGTGTGCACGGGGCGCCCTTGGAGTTTCCCGAACAACTACTCCGGCGTTACTTCCAGCAGTTTGGCGCAGTCGTCAGTGTGCGGGTGCACACGCTATCCTCAGGGAGGTATAAGGGTATGCGGACGAACATTCGTACCCTTGGGATG